AAATTTATGAATTACATTCATATRTGCAAAAGAACACAATTGCCCCATATAAATTTATCATCTTGGCTGTGAAAATATAGAATATGGAAAGGTAACAACAAACCAAACATTCAAATAGGTACATAATAGAAAATATTTCATAGAAAATCTTTTATTTCTTTGTAGGAGATGTGGCTATCTCATAAGGAAGCTCTTTCTACTTTCGGGGTACAAAATACTGTCCAATTAAGAATACTACCCTAAGCTATGTTTGACACAATCCACTGTAAACATATGTACACAAATTAGAACACTGCAGCAATTCGCACAATTACTTTGACTCAAAGCTTCTCAACCTGTTGTTTAGGTTGTTTTGCTAAATTAGAGTACTGTGATTCCTAACACACATTCTAAGCATGTGTAGTTTTATTTTTTATTAAAAAAAAGCTAGTGAGAACTTACGGAAATACATGCWAATAGAAGAATATTCAGTTTGTGAAGTCAAACACAACTAACATAGAGAATCACAAATTTACAATTATCCATGTTACTTGGTTTCTTTTCCAAGCTGGTATCTGTTTTGCATTATTCCAGACAAGAGTCCTGTGTCAAAGGACAATTTTTTTCATTGCACCAATACTGATCACTGAGTACACACACAATGAATACCCAGCCAGGGATACCACAGAAATGGATTCCAGCCTGCAAGTTGCATTTTAAAATGTTCAGATTGTATGCATTGTTCTGTCACCCTGTCTGCAATCAAGAGTAAGCCACACAACCCACTGTTATCTCTACAATCCCCCATTTTTATAATCTACCTTTGAATATCAATTTTCTGTTACCTGGTTACAAAGATCTCAGCAGCTCTTTTTCTCTTTTCCAGTGAACTGGTTTTTTTTTGTTGGTTCTGTGTTTTTCCCTGTAGCTAAAAGTTCACATAAAGCATTCTTTATGCCTTGCTCATTATAAACCCTCCATATTCTGCTAGGAAAATTTTGAGGACAATTAACATTGGAGCAATCTGTCAAAAGAGAGTATTCAGGTCTTGCCTGTGTTGAACAAACGGTGCACACAGCCCAGAGATGTCCTGGTGATTTTTATTCCAACTACTACACTCAGCTCTCCACAGGATGTGGCAGGTCACTGCGGAAGACACTGTAAGGAGTAGACAGTGATTTCAGGCACAAATTAGGCAGAGGTAACCCCAGGCCTTGTATGTCAGTGTGGACAATGACCAAACAACCTGAGCCTGTGCTGTGGCATTGGTGCAGGCTGCCTTTAACATCACCTCTATGTACTGCTGGGAGAGCTCCTTCCTGAGCAGATGTGTAGGGGTGACCTTTAGTGTWGGTGGGACTTATTCAATATTTGCAGGGAAATTAAAAAATTATTTCCAAAACAATCAGTCTTCTCAAATTCTACTTCTGTCTCTGCTTTCTCTAATATCCCACATGAAAATTAACAACAGTTTTATATTGTCTTATAAATKTATCTTACCACTAACTACAGCTATTGGCTTGTCATCAGTTTTGTCCAAGATCTTTATTTGACTTTTTATTCAACAAACTTCTTTTCCTTTTTCTTCTTTCAAATGCCTTCCTCTCATTGGAAGGCATTTATCCATATATAATGTCATATATAATTTGTCTCTTCTAAATCAGCCAAATTATCAACATAYCCAAAAAATAGAAATGAGCCAGTTTAAAGTTATGCTTTTAATTTTGCAATGCTGATGGTATTGACAAAGCTCTGGAGACTGTAGAGARACTCGTCTGACCACAGGTGGGGCAGACGTTTAACCCCTTGTTTACAATCTTTTGTAACCCACAAACATGTCTGCACATTTTAGTAATTCCATCAGGTTTCAAAATACTTCATTGCTTTTGAGAAGTCCTCTTGGCAACACGCTTTCTTAAACCCGTGAGAACATGTGTTTGTATTTGCATTGTRTCACTTTGCAGTATAACAGCGTTACACAAAAGTGACTCTGAATGGTGGAATTAGCCATGAGCAGAGCTGGAAATTACCGAAGTGGAGACCATTTTTATAAAAAAAAGATAACCTGACTTGAAAAAAAAAGTGGAAGGCACTTCAARGTGCTCCTTAGTGATGGGCTACACAAAGAGAAATAGCAACTGATCATTCTTTAGATAGATGAGTTGTTTGTAGAATTATGTTATGAAGACATTCAGAAGTCAGCCAGAATCCTCAGGAGCAATGAACGAGCAGTTGCTGACAATGTTTCCAGAGAATGATTTAAAGCAGGAGTTGATAAGAAAAAATCAAAACCTTTGTGAATTAATTGCATTGGAGAGCCGAAAAAAATTCCAAATGAGAAACAAAGCAGCCACATAATTAACYATCATAAATAAGTGGATGCTGCTTTCACCCCCTTTACAATCCATCCATCTTTGGTGCATTTACCAAGTTTTCTAATTTGGCAAAGTAAACCCAGAATTAAAAAAGACATTAGCAGAAAAACAAGTCTAGTTTGTATCTAAGGTTTTAATTTCRTCAACCATTTTAAATTGCGTATCATATCTATACCAGGAATAATTAAAACACAGTGCACAGTATTACACTAACTCTCCCAAACAGGTGTGCTGCTAGAAAATGCCCTGAATAAACAGATGTSCTGAATAAAATGTATCAGTGTAGGACATTCTGTTGAGAATAATTCATTTAGGGCATTTCAGAAATGAGGCTATACACATCACATTGCTTAARCAACATTGAAGGGAATACAAATACCCCATGTTACCATGTTACCATGAATAACATTATCACTCCTTTATTTTTCCTACCTAGTGGACAAAAAAATATACTTTTACTGATGTCTAACTTGCCCTATATAAATAATGTCGACAGAATGTAGACTGTCATCCARGGCTATTCACTTCTTAAAGCTAAAAATAAAAGCATTTATATCATCCCTTAGGTTTTGAACACACCTTTTAGTATGAGACTCATGCATGAAAATCCATATTGTTTTTTACTTATCTCCATATKAAACTTTTGGTAGGATTTGTTAGAGTGAATATTATTTGAAATGAAATACTGATTTGTAACATTTCAGAGTAGAAGAAGTAAAACAACATTTTACAACAATTGCAACAACATTTAAGTAATTTTAATACTGATTTATTGGTCTCCATGTCTGGCATATAAATTTGAAAACKATCATGTCACCTTGCTGTTAATCCTTTTTTCCCATTTTTCCAGTCTTTTCATGTAATTAAGTTTTCTTCTTAAATCTTAACAAATTTCCTTTTCAGTCTTTCAGACAAAGCTATGCTTCAGACAAGGGTAAAAAAATCAATGACATTTCAGACTGAGCTTTTTGCTCAGAGGACACCATAATCATTGGTAGCCCACTTGGCACCTGTCTGAAATTTTTTTTGATACATCTGCTTTACCTTTTTGCCCATCCCTGCACACTGAGACAGAATCTTCCTCTGCACATCCTGTAATGATGGCAAGGAGCTCTTTGAATCCCCCCATYCCCATTCATAACTCAAATACTCAATCACATTATTTTTTTCACCTAGTTTTCTAAGATCTCTCTTTCATGCATTTGTCAAATTATTAACTTAATCTTTGAGTTCTGTCACGTCACTAATAATTATGATGTATATAATGAATACTACTTTGAACATCAAGTAACAGAACTCCCTGGCCTTATCAGTGCAGCAGAAAATTATTATTTTATTCATAACTTCCACTGCACATTGCTGAGATGATTTCTAAGTGTTAGCACACTTAGGCTTACTCATTTTCTTAATTGCATTTAATAAAGAACTTTGTCAAAACCCTTKGGAAAGTCCAAATAAATTAGATCRAGCATTTCTTCCTCATTCATTATTTTGATGACATGTGCAAAGAGTTCTAACAGATCAGAGAAGGTTTTCTTTCAGCAAAACTTCCCTGGCTTCTTTTAGCAGAAATTGATCTAGAGTGTTGCTCATAATTCCATTATTGATATATATTGATATATAATGATGTATTCAATCCATTTAGCAAAAACTGAACTCGGACTTACAGGCCAGTAGGATAATTCTAGTTTGCTGGAAAGAAAAAAAGGAAGAAAAAGCAAAACAATACCCAAATTTTAATATTCACTTTTACAAAAGACAATTAAGTGCCAATAAAATTGGCAGCAGCTTGGCCCCTTCAGTTCTTTAGAAGACTTGTGTGTACCCTCAATTTAATATAATAGCTGATTTTTACTCCTTTAAAGTGTAAGATACTTAATTGCTTTTTCTGTAGGAGAATCCACACAAATAAATCTTTCAACTTCTCTATAACAATTCTTTTGAAATCTGTTCTTTTAAAAAAACAGCAGGTCTGATGATATTTTCATGAGTTTTTCTGGTTCTGATATAGTTGAATATATCTTTGGCATTTCTTAAAYCTTCAGCTATAGGGTCTTCACACCRCTTCTTAGAATATACATTTACCATCTTCCATTTTTCTTGTCATATTTTGTGCTCTGTTTCAACACTTAYACTGGGCTGGAATTTATCTGGAAAAGGCTACATTGGAGGTAAAAGAAACTCTTACCCCTCACAATCTTTTGCATTGATTTTTAAATATTTTTCTTAATCATCTGAGATTGACTTGACATTTTAAATCCTATTCATGTGGTAATTCAAAGAATTGCTACAATTAATTTCACCGTCACAAAAGGAAATTCACATATCTACTTAATTACAAGGAATGACAGTGGGACACCAAAATATTATCACATGTAGCAGAAATTTTGCAACTCAATTATAAAGTGTCACAATAGAATAAAAGAAACTGTATAAATCAATTCAAAAATTGTATTTCTACACCAACTATTTTGATTAGGAATTCCTCACTCATGTACAGTTTTTGCAATGTTTAATATTTTGTTAGACCAGGTTTCCCTTTTTTTTCCAACCATGTCTCTTACTGCTACAAAAAATTAGAAGATATGTTTTTCAAGGTTCTATAAAAGGTTTGTTTACAGTAATTTGATTTTACTGTTTTCCTACCAGAATAAAATGATCCTAATGTTTCCTTTCTTCCAGAAAGCCCTGGCAGACTTTCCCCAGTCTGGGTAGGGTTTATCCTGAAGCATCATATCTGTGACCTATAGGGAAAGAAGAAATAGTAGACAGTTACACTGATGTCACATAAGACAGGATGAGAAACAACTTAGATATTTTTGTTCTATCAGATTTGATAATGATAACAGACAGTAGATAATAGTATGTCCACTGTTATTTGCAATCAAGATAATATATATTGGCCTACATATTCTGCCTCTAGAATTGCCTCTAGAAATGCAGCTCCTTGAGAAACAATGAAACCTGTAGAGATCCAAAGATAAGAAGATAAGAGGAACCTGTCTAAAAGTTACAGCAAGTTTCATGGGCTACCTTCCCCTGTGAGGTTTTCTGGCCCAGTCTGGGAGAGGGGAACCACTTTCCTGAGAGCAGCATCAGCAGAATTTCTACTCTTGAAATCAGAACTGCAACCAGGGAGTGGAAACCTGTGAATTAAGCACTATTTGACATTTATAATCTCCTCTCAGTTCYTGGTATCAGTATAAAAAGCACACTTGGGACTGGCAACTCAAAAAAAGCCCTTAAAACTTGCAAAAAAATTTAAAACTATTAAATATTTATTCTCATTTTCATAATTCCTATCGAAAGAGACCATCTGTTTCTCTGTCCAGAGACTCGTATGTATGCAGTACTTCTGGGTGGTACACGAAAGTATTAAAAATGACTTTCAGCTCAGGGAGGGAGGTGAACACCCCTCAGGCACCTGCTTCTTTGGGAAGCTCTTTTCATATCCATTTATTTCAAATTAACTGTACTAAAAACACCACAAGTTACATTACAATAAACTCATAAATTCTGTTGTGCAAAAGATCCAGAGGAGTGAAAAACCTTTCTGTCCATAAAGATTTAGGAAACAGTTGATCAGATAATGGAAATGGGGGTGACCACCGGCTTAAAAATGCAGATACATCCAACAAATTCTATCTCTCATTGTTATCAGTACACAGTGGGAGATCACTATCTGTTTTGATCAAAATGAAAATAAATCTTAACAAGGTTTCAGAAGGAAATCACTTCAAACTGAGGACAAAATTTCTTGCTTTTATTTTCCACACAGATGTTTTAAAAATCAGTTTACCATCCAGAGTGTGAGCTACCACATTAAGCGTGCTTATCAAAAACAACACGTGGCCACAGATAAATTAAAAATGGATTCAAYTGCTAAATTTTGGCTTCAAGTCCATTTGGGGTTAAAAGTGCTCAATATATTAGCCTGGGCCGGGTCCAAAGGATAATGACTATGTTAAGTAAATAGAAGCACACATTCTAGGATTTTATTATTCCATTAAACTTAACCTTAAAAAAGAACAGACCATATCCCAAAATACCACCTTTAACAACTGTTTTATGTCGTTAAATCTTTTCTAGGGTCAGCAAGCTTTTATAAGATCTCTATTTTCTAAATAAATATTTCAATAAATATTTAATGCTGAACAAGACATCTGTAAAGATTTAATTCRCCACCTTTTTCCTCTTATGAAGAGTCTACACAGCAATGAATATTTGCAAAGAAGAACAGATATTTGAAGAGGCTTTATTCAAGTTTCAAAATCGTTTCCCCAGATGCTTTCTGGGAAATTATTATGCTTGTGAGAAGGATGCAATTTGCAGGTCTATGACCAAATTCTAGAGGAGCATGTTTCATAAGAATGACATCTGAGATGGAGATATTTTCCAAGGAAAATGGCAAGATGAGGCAGGAAATGTTCTTTCTGATATCAAAGATTTGGTCTTTCATCTCRCAACTTTGGCCTTTATTTAAAGTCACATCACCAGATCAATGTCAGGTCAGTTGCAGCTCAATTGGCTGCAGCAGAGACAGTCATTAAAGGGATGCATTCCATAAAGAGAAATCCAATTACCTTTTGCATTAGAGAAATCAAATTCATTTTCTGGTTTGGTCAAGGACAGTCACTGTAGAAAACAGCTCACGGGAGAAAAGCACTCAACACTGTCACACAGCAGATGTGTTTTAGATATACTTCAAAAACTCATTGTTTAGAGAAAAAGAAGAAATATAAATTTTAATTAACAGAACTTAATATGAAGAATTGTGTGAGTGTGTTTATCTGTATTTCACAATGCAATTGCTGTACAGCATATGTTTATCTCTGTTTTACTGGACTATGTTTGAAAACATTGCTGATACATGGGAATAAAAAAATAATTGATCACTTTGGTAAATGTCTGTATTCATCTTACATAACCAAGATAAAATAGGGTAAGCCAATTACATTGCAATTAAGTAATGTATTTTTTTCTTGAACTAGGAGATGCAATATACTTTAATCAATAATTACATTGCTTCAGTTCAGAAAGGAATGGCCCCCACATAAAGTCAGTGTGTACCCTTTTATTTTATTTAGTCTCTCATGAGAGAAATGTTTACACTGTATTAAACTGAAAAATCAAGGCTCCATCACACACATTGCCTGACTTTATAAGTCACATAAATGCCACAAACCCCCCCCCCATTTCCATTAATAATGAATATGTATTTTATATATTATGGAATCTTAATTTTATTTTTTCCCTATAAAACATGACTTTATCAACTATTCATATTAGTCACTTTTTATTAATTATGAATCTAACTCATAATGATTTTAAAATTATATATTGCTATCATTAATAGCAAAATTTTATTATTCCCATTATTTTTCTGTTACAGAAAAATAAAATTGTTCCTTTTGATRTGATCCTTTTGATGTTTGATACAATCATCAAACCGCAGAAAGGCTTGTGTTGGAATGGACCCTACAGATCCTCTGGGCCCCCCCTGCCATGGGCAGGGACATCTTGCACTAGACCAGATTGTTCAAAGCCCCATCCARCCTGGCTGACAATACATACTGCTACACAATACATYACATAATGATTTGAAAAATGATGTCATATCACATAGAAGAAAGAACCTGCGATTCAAAGTCATTCAGAGCAAGCAACTAACTCAGATGAGAAGTGCAGAAAGCAAAATCATAAAAAAACTTTTTAAAAAAACGAAACAAAAGAGTGAGATATCCAAGATACCTGTGATGTACCAAGTGGAGCAGTAAGACACCCAAAGGATCATTTATTCCTTCCATGCAGTTACTCTTTGAGCCCATTGTTTAGGATACCCTGCTCATAGCTTAAATCTCTCCTTACACACTCAGGTCAAATGATCCTATGTTGTACCTCACAGAGTCCCTCCCAGCAGAGACAACCTCTGCACTGGGAGTTTCAGGTAAGGCAAAGTATCACTTCTATTATATATTAAGAGCAAGTGAAACTTGTCTTAAGAAAAAAAAAAATAGAATAAAATTGCCTAATATTTTGGCCATGCCTACAAAATATCATCCAAATACTTCACTAGCAGGAGCTTTGCTATCATCTTCAGAGCACAAAGAAATGACCCACAGAAAACTAATACAGCACAGGCTGCTGGCCAAGATATTTTCATCTGAGAAATTGTGTTTTAGAAATGTAGAGATATGAAAGTACATCAGTTGGTTTCATAGTAGCACTTCTTCATATAAGCAGCTGCAGAAGCTGTTTCTTGCTCGRGAAAGGGACTCTGGGCTCTAGGACATGATGTATTCTAAGCTGCAATATTCATGAAGTGGAGAAAAGCCATACGCAGAGGATTTTCATTGCTTTATGCATACTTGGATAAATCATCAAAACAGGGCAAGGGCAGCCCTCCAGAATTCAACAGAAGGTAGAAGAATCTAAGATCCACAAGAAAAACCTGAAAACACAAACCAAATGGTGAAATCGGAATTTTATTTTATTATTTTGATAAAGCAATGAGCAGCGAAAGGTCTAATGGACAGGAGGACTCCAAAATATCATGTAAGAAGCTGTTTGTGCAATTACTCAGCCAGGAGGACATGACATCATAGTGTTATTGCTGGAAAATTGAGTGCCCTAAATAACTGCATTTGGCAAAATATATCTATCTACCACTGTCAAATACATGAACCAAGGATTAGAAGTATTTAGAAATTTTATAAATTAGAAGTATTTAGAATTTTTTTTCAATTTTTATTATTTTACTGCTTTAAATATCCTATTTTAAATCACAAACCTCTTCCTAAGTACCACTAAATCAATTTCACTTGATACTTAGCCTTCAAATAGTTCATAGCTTGCACATCTCCGCTCACCCCAAACGCTAAACAAGAAACATTACTTTCAGTCCTGCAACTGGGGCATTTCATTGGTAAGAGTGAATATCATAAATTCTAAAAGCTTCCAGACATTTCAAGGATGCTACAGTGTCAGGACAGGTCAGAGGGCAGCGTCCCATGGCAAGAACATGAACATTGCATTCCTCATCAAAAGAATCCATCAATAGTTTTGCAAAGATTGAACATTGCCTGAGTGTTTCTGTAAAGATTGTGAGGGCTTTTTTTGGTTTTTTTTTTCTAGAGTGGGGCTAAATCAGGTTAAAGTAATTATGTTTTCTGAAGTCAGAGTGTGAAGTCAATGAGAGCTAATGCATACCACTGAGGGGATACGCTCCCCTTGCTCTGCTGTTATGTGCTTTTAGGTAAGAGCTATATATAGGTGTCCCACTAACTGCAYATCAATTCTTTATCATATCTCAGTCTTTAAGTACTGTACTACATCACAGTGATCATACACCAAACTGGGGAAACACTTAGTACTCAGTCATTAAAAGCTTCTATCCATCACTTCCCTCTTCTTCTTGAGATATGTAAAAACTGTGGAGCTGTTCACTCGATGTTTAAAAGTAGTCTATACAAAATGTTTTTATGCTTTTTTTCATCTGACTCTGAGAGAAGATTGTCCTCTGTGGATGGTGACAAATCTGGTAGTCTTCTATGATGCCATGACCGAATGGGTCAATGAGGGGAGAGTAGCAGACGTTGTCCATCTCAACTTTTGTTTCCCATAATAACCTCACAGGGAAACTCAGGAGTTGTGGGTTAGATGAATGGACAGTGAGGTGGATCAAGAACTCTCTGAATGATGGAGTTAAGAGGGTTGTGATCAGCAAAGTATAATCCATTTGGAG